GGGGTGCAGCCCGGGCTCCCGGCCCTGTGAGGCGGCCCGCGCCCCTCCAGGGTGTGCCCCCGGTGCTCACAGGGCTCCGGGGGGCTCCACTGCCCTCGGGAGCAGTTTCTCCTGGCAGACGGGAGGACGTTTAGCGAGGGGCTTCACCGCGGCGAGGTCCCTGTGGGGTGTGGGACTCACAGGAACTGCTGCAGGCGAGTCCCCGCCTCGCAGTAGCGACCTCCGAGAGAAAGACATTTCCTGACCGAACAGGATGACCTTGTCCCGTTTCCACCCCAGATGCTAAAGGGCTTGGACGAAAGGACAATCGGAGGAAATGTGTGTGATGGAATGGCTGATGTGGATCCTCGGGAGCAGTTTACCAGTTCCCCTGCTGACACCAGTACAGCCAACGCCATCCAGCATGTAGAACCTAGTTACCCAGTAACCACGAGAAGGAACAAATCCATTTAAAAAGCTTTAGTGAAAATACCACCTGTAGCATAGTAATCTCTTGTAGGAGCACCAGTGTAAACTCCAGGGGTTTTGATGAGAAGTTTTTTTCTCAGCCTGAAGCTAATGCTGCCCCGATTCTGGTAGTCGCAGTAGTAACAATTTCTAAAATAGCGAGTATGTGCTGCTTTGTGGAGGCTGGGTTTCACCTGTCTCCCTAAGACAAATCCCAGGTATTGAAATTTTAATCTTGTAGCAGTTGCTGGGACTTTGCTCTTTGTTGCGCCTCCTACAATAGGGTGGACTGTTACAGTAAAAGAGATTTTGTTCTGTGCCCTGACAAAATATAGGCCAGTGAGTGGCAGAGTTCAGTGGCCACCACGAGCTGCCACAGCACTTGCCTGTGGGGCACGGGCAGTCTGGCCAAGTCTTAGTCCCAGCTTGGTAGCAGTCACCTGCCATGAGCACAGAAAAACTGAATGCTGTCTTAAGCACATAAAAGATTGTTCCCAGCAGTGAGAGAAACAACTGGTCCCAAAAACCTTGTAATTTTTCTGGTGGTGAATATACTTTCTTACTCTTCTGTAACAGAAGAGAGTATAAATGTATCCTGTCATGATACCTGTGTGAAGGACATTGAATTACTCCAGTGTGTCCAGAGAAGGGCAACGGAGCTGGGGCAGGGTCTGGAGCACAGGTCTGCTGGGGAGCAGCTGAGGGAACTGCGAGGTTTAGTCTGGAGAAGAGAAGGCTGAGGGGAGACCTCCTGGCCCTCTACAGCTCCCTGACAGGAGGGTGCAGACAGGGGGGATGAGTCTCTTGAACTAAGGAACCAACGCCAGGCCCAGAGGGAATGTCCTCAAGCTGTGCCAGGGCAGGGTCAGGCTGGCTCTGAGGAAAGATTTCTTTGCAGAAGGGGCTGTTGGGCGTTGGAATGGGCTGCCCAGGGCAGGGGGGGAGTCCCTATCCCTGGAGGGGTTGAAGAGTCGAGTTGACCCAGTGCTGAGGGATCTGGTGGAGCTGGGAACAGTCAGGGTGAGGGTCATGGTTGGACTAGAGGATCTTCAGGGTCTTTTCCAACCCAGGTGATTCTGTGAAGGGCCCCTTCTGCCCTTTCTCTGCCCCACTGGGATTGGGTTTGCTCACCTTTCCTGGAATGTGAGCCTGCTTGCTCACCACATACTTCCTGGTGCTTTTTAGTCTTTAAATGTTTTGTCTTTGCTCCTTTGCTAACCCTTTTATGCTGTTTCCTCCATATTTTCTCTCAAAACCCCAACTGTTCCACTCAAGCTATTTGCTAATGTTGTGGTTAGTCAACCTCAGGCGGTTTGGAGTGTGGTTATATGGCAGTTGTACACAAGTGCAGAGCTGTGCTTGTCTGCTGGTGGGTTTGAGCGCTTTGGTGTGCAGGTTGGCTCCTTGGCTGAAAACTTGTCAGAGGGTACACCATGCTGTGGATGAAAGGCCCCATCTATCATACTGAGATATTCCGGCTGCTCACACAACTTGGGAGGGGTGAGTTGAAAGAGCAGGCATCTGGGTGTGGCCATTGGTAGGGAAAGAAAAGCTGCTGTGATTTAGGGTGACAAGGCAGAAGGGTTGCGCTTTGGAGGAGGCAAGGTGTTGACAGGAGTCAATGAGGTATTTTTGATTTTTTTGGAAGAAGGGGTTAAGTGCAGCTGTTTGAAGTGTGTGCAGGTAGAAGTGGTGTGGTGTCATGAGGAAGACGGCTAAAGGCTTTATTTGTTTCTGAAGCATAAGGTAATTGTCTAATTGAAATAACAAGCAGAGATATTGTTTCTGTTTGGGGACTACTAGGAGGCTGGTTGCTTTTAGTACTTCACTGGCTGGCTGAGCATCAAGTGACCATATGGACACTCAGATGCACTGGACATCTGCAGGCTGCTCTCTGGGTCGTCAGAAACTTGTAGGTCAGGCTCTGTTAGTGCTGGGTGTCAGCAAGCAGGATGGGGAAGCCAGGAATCCCTCTAAGTGTGTGGTACAGGCAGTGGAGTCAAAGGGCTGTGAGAGTGGATGGATGGTGCTGGGGGTATGGAATGACATGCTACTGGGTTTTCTTTTATAAGGTGTTTCCTTAGGCGAGATCAGACATCTTGTTTCTGTTAAGCTGAAAATGTTGTGATTTGATTGAGAAATAGCTAGAGCCTTCTGCTTTTTTAGAACATCTCAACTTTGCACTAAAGAATGATCTCTTTGCGTGCATGTACTGGGTGTGGCTGATCTGGAATTGGTTTTCCCCTATAGCAGCCCCCATGGTGCTGTGGTTTATGCTGGGAGCTGCAGGGTGTTGGCAGCACCCTGGTGTGGTGGCTACTGCTGAGTGGTGCTTACACAGCACCAAGGCTCTTTCTGACATTCCCCCCCGCAAGTGGGATGGGGTGGGCAAGACCTCGGGAGGGGACACAGCCAGGACAGCTGACCCCAGCTGACCCGAGGGACATTCCAGACCCTGTGACGTCTGCTCAGTATAAAGCTGGGAGAAAGGAGGAAGGGGCTGGGGTCACCCTTGGTCCCCCGAGGCAACCACTCCGCGTATGGGAGCCCTGCTCCTGAGAAGGCCCGACAGCATCTCTCCATGGGAAGTAGAGAATAAATCTGTTTTCTTTTTTTCTTCTGCACACGGACCTTTGCTTTGCTTTGCTTATATTAAAACTGCTTTTGCTTTACCCACAAGAGTTGGTCTATCTTATTTTCTTTCCCTTCTTTGCCCTGTTGAGACAACAAGGGGAAGGGGAGGGGGAAGTGATAAGAGTGACTTAGTGGGTACCTGGCATTTAGCCAAGGTCAAACCACCACAGTGCGTCTTCCCACAGCATGCTGTGTCCGATGGTAACTTCCATCATTTCTCTGTGACAGCCAGTAATGAATGCATATATTTAGTTTCCTGCCATTTCTGGATGTTCAGCGGGGAGAGCTCGTGGTGACAGGGGCCTGGAGGCAGTGCTGTGGGTTTCCCTTCTGTTCTCATATTCCTGGAAGTGGATGTTTTGTGTGGCATGCAGCTAAATACCGATGGTGAGGATTTAGCCAGGCTGATCTCTGTGGAATAGTTAGGTGTGAATGGGTGCAGGAAAGGGGTTTCCTCATCCTTGTCACCAGTGGCATGAGGGAGGGTGTGGGCAAAGCAGGGAGGAGCGGAGGGGAGTGGATGGGGAAGTGTCAGCTCTCACCCTTTCAAAGACAGCCGGAAGTATTGCTGCTTGGGCTGTTGGAGGAACTATGCCTGCAGAGCCCCGGAAAACGGCAGTACTAACACCTGATTGGTGTGTAATCTCTTGGCTGGACCAGTCTTCTTGTGTGGACACCAGGTGAAAAATCCCATGCTGCTGTTTTTGTTCTGAAGAAGGCCAGGGAGCTCTGTGGCATGTCCCTGAGGTGATCAATCACACCAGGACTGCATTGACAGCGTGCTTTCCTATTGGAAGGCCAAACCCCAAGTGAGGGTTGTGTTCCTGGAGGCAGGGCAAGACGTCAAGCCGTGCAGGTCACTGACGTAGTATGTCAGGCGGGGACTATTCCTTTTGCTGCTCTCTCACCCATGTGTCGCACCGATCCGTCCCAGGCAGGACTCCAGCAGAGGGATCGTACAGTGCAGAGCTGTGTTTAATTCAGCCCTGCTGGAGGTGAGTGTCTGAAGCAAAGCAGCACATCAGGCTACGCTCTTTGTGGGCAGTGTTTGCAGAGGTACTTGTAAAGCTGTACTGTCAGTGGTACAGAGCTGTCCTTTTCCTGCTGTTCCTGTAGTTGCAGTCATTGCTAATTTTGTGAGATGGTAGGTGCCCACATGCCTTCCTCCTTACGCACCTGGCTATTTTCCAGTTAATTTTCTCCTTGCTCCTGAATTTTTGTGGCATTTAAAAGTATAATCATGTGCTTCAGACCAGCAGGCTGTGCCCTGTACTGTACAGTGCTTGCTTGATGCTGGGTGCTGCTTTGCACTGCCTCAGTGTCCTAGTTTTGGCTGGGATAGAGTTAATTTTCTTCCTTGTAGCTAGTACAGTGTTGTTTTTTGGATTTAGTATGAGAATATGTTGATAACACAAATGTTTTAGCTGTTGCTAGGTAGTGCTTATCCTAAGTCAAGGATTTTTCAGTTCCCCGTGCTCTGCCAGCAAGGAGGTCCACAAGAAGCTGGGAGGGAACATGGCCAGGAGAGCTGACCCGAACTAGCCGAAGGGCTATTTCATACCGCAGAATGTCATGGCCAGTGTAGAAGTGGGGGGAGCTAGCCAGGGGAGGCTGATCACTGCTTGGGGACATTGGTCTGGGCATCAGTCAGTGTGTGGTGAGCAATTGCATTGTGCATCACTTGTCTGTCTGGGATTTATTTCTCTCTCTCTTTTTAGTTACCTTCCTTTTCATTATTGTTTTTATTATTTCAATTATTAAACTGTTCTTATCTGAACCTATGAGTTGTACTTTTTTTATTCTGATTCTCCCCATCCCACTGCGTTGGGGAGGAGTGAGTGAGTGGCTGCTGTTGGCTGGGATAGATCACAACACTCACCCTCTCAAAAATGTCATGAAGTCCTGCCTCGTACTTTGTGTGACCCAGTGTATCTTTTTGGGCAATTGTTACCTGAGATGTGCCACATGACTATATGGTGGTGCTGCTGTGCATCCTGCAGCATTACGGCTCATTGAGAAACACTCTTGTGATGTTTGATCTCCATTATTAGCATGCTTTGAAGTGATAGCCGCTGAAGACCTCAGTTGTAATTAAGAATGTGGGGGTCATCTCTGTACATCAAGTTTGGGAGTTTTCAAGTCTGCTGGAGCAAAGATGCTCTAGTGCATCTTTGGTTGTTTAAGTGTGTGGTTCTGTTTGTTAAGTGTCTTTAAGAGAGAACTTGTCCCTGCACTGTTTCTGAGGATGGTGATGGAGGTGCCAGCTGAGGTGGTAGCCATAGCCCTGGTTGGAAAGGTTACATGTTTCTTGTAAGTAGTAGCTGAATATTCTTGGTCTCATCTTCAGGACAGACCTCAAAGAGCAGTTGCAGTGGCTTTTCCTGGGAGTGTAAGGATAGGTGTGTACCAGCTCCTGTTTTGCTGGCTGCAGAAATGTTCCTTGGCTCTTCCACCACACAAGAGAGAGGAAGGGCGGGGCAGGTGCAGGTGGTCCTCTTGTCCTCCGTGTTAGTTGCTTTCTGTAGTGGGCTCTTCCAGGAGCACCCTTGTAAGCGTCGGGGGGTTTGTGATGGTTCCTACGGGCTGAGCTGCTTGGGATGTGAAGTAACACGCTGGTCCAAATCACCCACCGGTGCTTTTCATCTTGCTTGCAAGTGGGGATATCTAAAGACTTGTGACAGTCGGAGAGCAGGGGAGGCTACAGCTCCCTGTGAGGGAAAGGGGTACAAGTGGTTAAGACAAAAACTGCTCACCAGCATCTCAGACATTATATACATTTAATAATTTATGGATTGTGAATTATTAAATGATTTGGATGAAAATATGTAGTGCATCAAGCAATACTTTGTGCTAATAGTTGACATGTTATAGTATTGCTTTCTGTTAAAGTTTAAATTGAAAGTCTGATGTAAAACTGATCTCAGGATGGTTAACTGCTGAAGAATGCAAAAGGGAGCAAATCAGACTTTCTTGTGATAAAGTGTTTGCTGTTTCAGCAAACTGTTTTGCTCAAGGACAAGACTTGCAGACAGAGTTTCTAAAAGTGGGTGTAATAGAGTATTATCTCTCCCTCCAGACTTTGTCCCGCCTGTGCTCTTAGACTGCTGTGGCTGCAACAGAGTAGCTGCATTGAAAGCATGTGTTGATTGTGAAGGGGACCTTTAATAACTTATCAAAAATGACAGCAAAATATCTTAATGAAATAGAAGAAAAAGTTCTCAATAAAATTAGAGCATCTTTTAAACTCGGGTGGTTCTACTGTTGGAGTTGAAACTGATTTCTGTAAAATTCAAGTTAACTTGGCAAAATTAAACTCTTAATATACAGATTTGACTAACTGCAAGAAATTTTTATGGAAACAATTTATTTGGACTTTGAAATTTTAGTTTGAGGAATTTTTCAGCCTTAAAAAATGCCAGTTATTCAGGCACTGCATGTTGTCTTTCCCATAAAATTAAAGGAGTTATCCCCAAATGTGACTTTCCCAAAAAGAAATGGCTGAAAAATTGTGTATTTCCTGATGCTTCTATTTTCGGTTCTGTGTAGGTGGGAGAAGCACTTACACTGCTTTACAGATAACTTATGTAGCTATTTGTTCTCTTCCTACTATACTTGACTTTAGAAGGATAAGTGCTTTCAGTATTTTTCTGAAAAAGCTGCAGAAATATCTATTTCCATAGAAAAGTCAATGGCTATCACAGTAATACTAACTTGCACAAGTAATTCCATATGTACTGCAAACTGTAAAGGGAAATTCTTTGCAGACTTTGCTCTCAATGTTGTCTTTTTTTCCTTTCTAGCCTCCCAGCTGAGCGACTGAGAGTGCTGGCCTGCCTGAACGACCTGAGACAGCAGCACGTGGACGTCATGAAGGTAGCCCCAGCGCCGTGTCAGGAGGACTCTGCTTCCAGGGCCTCGGCTCTGCCTCCTTTTGCCTTGGTGGTGCCAGCTGGTACTGTGGTGGTGCTTTTCCTTTGCAGAGCAGCAAACTCCAAGCTCTTCTTGATCGTGGGTGGTCTTTGGAAAACCACGTTAACCAGAAAAATTGTTAAAATTATCAGCTAAGAGCTTTATGTGGGTACCTGACAGTTGTGAGAGATTGAATGAGCAGATGAGCTGTTTGAAACACGTTGAGAAATCTCCCTTTCACATCTTTGTGTGGAGCCTCTCTTTGGTTTTTGTTTTATTAGTTTAGCCCCAGGCTTGGATTAACAGACTCCTCCTCACTTCCACTGTTTACCGTGTCCAGCAGTCACTCACAGTGGTTTATGTTGGTTTAACTCTGGCCAGGGCTGCATACGTTCCTTAGTAGTCTGCACATCTGCTAGAGCCCTGTCAGCTCAGTGGCCGAGAGTAGAGAGAACACAGGAAAACTTGATTTGCCTCAGTATTTTACCAAGATATATGTGTGATGAAATAGTTTTATCTGCTGTTGTGAGGCAAGGATTAAATGTGTGTGTTTATCTTCTATAGTAAGTCACTGTAGTTAACTCAGATGTAGTTAAGAGAGTAGTTACTCTCTTAAAACGTGTGTGCTTAGGAATGATCAGGGAGTACTTCTTTCATATTTCAGTTACCTTGGGTTTTGTATTTTGTTTTATGAAAAAGGTAAGAGTCATAATTTCCACTCTGCAAAATTTCAAAATGGATTTTGAAAAACAGTGTCAAATTAAATACTTACTAACTATCTCAGACATGTATTGCAGTGTCCTGCTTTAACTGGAACAGCAGATTAATAAAGACAGTGGTTTTCTCAGGTGTTAAGTTTCGGAATTACACAGGTGCTGATAACATTTTTAGAGATTTTGACTTTAATTCCCTTGCCCTCTGAAATATGTAGCTTTGTCTTTGTTGATGTCACACAAGTAGTTCTCCAGGATAAATCTTGGTATAGGGTAGGCAGGATATGGCTGTTTTACAGGGGAAAACAACACCCTCTCCCACCAAATACCTAACCATTCTAGATATCCTTTCCCTTGGTGCCTGTTCTGTTCAAAGTCAAATTTTAAATGTTAATTACACTGTTGTTTGGCTTTTGTAGGTTTTTAATGATCCAATTCACGGGCACATTGAAATACATCCACTTCTTGTTCGCATCATCGACACACCTCAGTTTCAGCGCCTCAGATACATTAAGCAGCTGGGTGGCACTTACTTTGTATTTCCAGGAGCCTCTCACAACCGCTTTGAACACTCTATAGGGTAAGGTGTTGTCTTGTGTGCACACCTCTAGCATTTGGTTCCACTGATGAGTTTGATTCCACTAATGTGGAGTGCCAGCAAAGGGCCATCTTTGTCTTTGAGCATTGATGGAAACTGCTGTGGTGGCATTTTTGGTCTCATAAATGTTCTGGGATATCCTGTGTGATTATGGGCTGTTCCCTTGAACTTCATTCCATAATGACAGATAAAGAAACCTAGAAGATGGATCAGTGTTAGATTTCCTACCTGAGACTGCTTTGTGTTCTCCCTGGCCAAAATTTGAGTTTTAAAGCATAAACCTGGGCTGCTGTTAACAACTTGCTGGACAGTTGTAATCCCCTTATATTGTCTAGTACAGCTAAACCCCATTTTACCTGGAATGTTTGCATTTGTAGTGTCTGCATGTGTGCTTTATGCAATGGATGGCAGATTGACAGGGTGTTAGCTGTAATAAAAGTTAAACAAAAACAAATGATGAACATGAGCCTTCCCAGTGTTGCTAGGTCATTCACACTGCAGAGAAGCTGAATAATGACACATTTAAGCTTGTTTTAAATGCATTAAAGGTGCAGAGAAATTAAACCAGTCAGTGATTTTTATTCAGGTGATCTGGCCAGCCTAAAGCTGCTTTCCTTAATGCTGGAATGTTGTAGAGTAAGTCTGCCTTCTGCCCCTGCCCCTTGACACTAAGAGGACGAAAAGGGCAGTTGCAAAAGGGTCAGATCAGTGAGGCAAGCTGGAACTAATTGCATTTGGTACACCTGAAAAGGCAAAAATGTGAGGGATATAAACAAAGCTCTCACAGTGGGAGCCTGAAAACTCCAATGGTATCAACAACCTTTTCTTTTAAACAGGTCAATTAATCTATGTTGTTAAATTTAGGACAGTTGTTCTCAACTTGTATATCATTTTGAAGATTTCTAATGTTAAAATAATAGTGAACTTTGTATGCTTATTGGTCTAGTAAAAAACCACAAACCAGTAAAATTTGGTCAAATAAAAGATACTACCTCATAATATAAAATCTCGTCTTGCTGTAAGACATTCTGCAAGGGGGACTATTGAGGCAAGTAGAGAAGGAAGTTGGGGTAGAGCTTGTGAACAGTTTATAGGAGTACGTGCTGTATGTTTGTTTCTTCTGGTTTTGTGTTGTGAAGAGAGTCCCATTCAGTGACATTAAATGTCAAATCTGAAATGAATGGGACAGTAATTGTGTAGATAAATGTCATAAGCTATTGTTAAAATTTGTTTGAAAGAAGAACAAAATGCTGTAGTGACTGTTGTGTGCCGTTGCAGCTGCATGGACTGGACGTCCAAAGGGTGCTGCTGTGTATGTAAGCGGTGGTGCTGCAGGATGCACACCACCGATGCTGCGCTGCTGCTCGCTGCCACACTGTGCTTGTGTGTTGTGAAGTGCTGCAGGGTGCTGCTGGCTCTGTGTTTTGGGCATGGCAGCTCATGCTTTTTTACTTTCTAATGGGTTGCTGATGACCAAAATTCTGCTACAGGAAATAGTTTGTTTCTGTGATTCTCTTGAAGGTTAGGGCTTGAGTATTTGTTGTGTGCTGCCTCTCAGACAAGGGCCGTGACTTAATAGAGCAAAATAGAATAGGTGAACTGCTCTTTTTCTGTTCAGTCTAACAGCACTATAATCACTTTATTCCCCTCGCCCCACAACAGGGTGGGCTACCTAGCAGGATGTCTGGTTCGTGCACTGAAGGAGAGACAGCCAGAACTGGATATAACCCAGCGCGACATCCTCTGTGTAGAAATTGCTGGCCTTTGTCATGATTTGGGTAAGCAACACTTGAGATGTCTTGTTGTCTCTGAAAGCCAACCTGGGTGAAGAGCTGGCTGCAAGATAACAATGTGAGAGCTGTTTTGGGCTGTCAGTTCACGGCCATGTTCTGAGATAGGATTCATCTGTTTCTGTTTGGTCCAGAGTATCTCTGCAGAGGCAACTGCACTTGATGAATCTATACCCACTCTCTACTCTTAGCTAGTTTTTGTCTTGTTCCCATATGGTGTTTAGAGTTCTGTCCTCAGTGGCTGAAGTGTCCATTTCCTTCTGTGATGTCCTCAGGTCTCAAAACATTTCAGAGTGAAAAATAGTGGCTTTTTCAAAAATCATTATGATTATTTTATAATTGCTTATTTTAATCAAAGCTAGCACCAAGTAGTTAATGTTCTTAGTGTTATTGCAGTACTTGCTTGCAGTGTAGGTAATGGAACTGGCTGTGTTAAATGCAGTAGTACTTAAGGTGTCTTAGGAAAGTGTACTCACTCTAGCTGAATCTTCCTTGTAGATGATGTCATGATCAAGTCAAATACAAGAGAATCCACATCCTTCGCTTGCTCAAAATGTTTTTACTGACAACCATGTCTCAGATTAAATCTGTGTAATCTTTATTTTTAAGGTCATGGGCCATTTTCACATATGTTTGATGGAAGATTTATTCCACTTACTCGTCCAGATTTGAAGTGGAAGGTAGGCTTTATACTAAAATAGAAAACTGCAATTTTTAAAGGGAGAATAATTTATCTTTAGACTGCCAGTGTTTGTGAGAATAATAGTGATCATCTAGTCTTATTGCATTGTTTTGATGGCATAATTAAAAAACAGAATGTTGTCTTCTAATTTTGTGATGATTTCCTTGTTCTCTTTAACTGTCTGAGGAACGTCAGCCCCCTCAGCATAGCCGTGAGCAGAAGCAATCTTACTGGCAAAACAGAAAGAGATGTGGGTAGGAGTGAGTGAGGGCAGGTATTTGTCACCAGCATCTTTTCCCTGAAAGTTCAAATGTTCTTGAACTCCTGTACTTTCATGAGTTCTCTTTGTGTACGCATGTCCTCCTCATGCAGATGTCACAGTGGGTGTCACAGAGGAGAAATGAAATGTCTTGGTCTTGTCAGTGCCTGTGTGTGACTCTGAAGAAGCAGAATTTGTTAGGGCTGCACTGATCATTTTAAGCCAAAAATGTGCCTTAAACCGTGTATTGCGAGCTTTCTTCAGAATATCTTTTACAGATGCAAAATACTGATAGGGAACTCCATTTCCAGTTTAAGATTTTAGTTTAAGGCCAGGTTATTTAATCCAGTGTTTAGAGTTCAAACTTTCAGAAACTTTGAACAGAGTTTCAAGGGTTGTTTACTGTGTATGAAATGTAATGCAGTCCTTTCAGGCCTCTCTCTGCTTATAATTGCTGAGCAAAATCAGCTGAGTAAACTTGTTAATCTTCTGCACAGCAGTATTTGTTGCTATGTCTTTTAGTATTGTTAACTGTCTTACTGCAGTTTGTTAAAATACAAAATTAACATCTCTGTGGTGAAGAGTGTGTTTCTGGGCTCTGTAGACATTATTTTGTTAGATGGAAAATGAACAGAAAATCCCCCAAGTGCTGAGCTTTCACACCACTGTGCCTGGGTGCCCTGCCAGGCGGTGCTGCTGCCTTAGGAGAAAGCTGTGACACTGCAGGAAAGATGCTTAAACTTCATAATGTAACATTTAGGAGTTTTTTTCACAGCATGAAACTGCTTCTGTTGAAATGTTTGAGCACCTGATCACTTCCAATAAGCTAGAAGAAGTCATGAAATCATATGGTCTTGTCCTGGAAGAAGATATGAACTTCATCAAGGAACAAATAGGAGGGCCTATAGATGAAACCGCTTGTGAGAAGTCGGTGAGTCAGTGTACTGCTCCGGTGGTTATTAATTTTACTGAAAGACTAGATCATCTTTGCTTCTGCTATGATTTATTATTTATTTTTAGCCCCATTAATTTCTGAGGATCATGGCACAAGAGATGCTGGATAAGTGTAGTGTTTATTTCTTACAGTGTTGGTAGGACGTGGTAGCTTCACTATGTTATGTGCTTACATCTTCCTGATAAGTTCTTACCTCAGAGTCTTCAGATGAGAGAAAAGCTTAAGAATGTGTTTAATGAACTGAATTCACTGTAACTAGATTGGTAGACCTGAATTTTTAATGAAAACCTTAAATGACCAGGTTAGGCTAACAGCCTGTTTACTGGATGCCTGAAAGTGGTGGTGATGGGAGGTTGTGTTTTCAGGTGTCCATATGAAGAAAACTTGGAGATAGTTTAGGTTAACAAGCTGATAATGGATAAAAAAACCTGAGAACGGGAAGAGGTGAGTCAATGAGCAATGCAAAGCATGGCCCAAGTGTCAGGGCAGCATCAGCTTTGACAGCAGCAAAATGCTTGGATTTATTGCAGTAACAAACACAGAGGCAGTGATAAGACTTGAAGAAATGTGCTGCCTCAAGAGACAAGGAAGAAGAGAATGTGATTATTATTAATCCTTGCAACTCTGTGAAAGAATTAAGTCCTCTCTTCTCACTTTACACGTTGCCCCACACAAATTGCCCACAAACATTAGCACTTACCCATTATTTTCTGCTGTATAGTGTGTAGTTCAACCATGTGTACTCCAGCACTCTCATGACAAACATAGGGAACTTCACATAATAAAAATTCAGTCTGAGATCTTACAGGAAGGGCATATTTATTTACACAGTCTGCAAGTTGATTTTTACCCCCTTGCACTCATTTGCACACAAATCTTGCTGCTTGCCACTTCCATGCATCTTGTGCCAGGTTCTTACCCAAAGTCTGTTTCCCCTTGTTTGCATTCTATGCCCGTTTTCCAGCAGGAGAACAGGAAAAGGGGTGTCATACATGATACATGGCCACCTTCTTGGTGTCAGGCTGCAGGATCTTCTACTGGCTGTCATTTGTACTGTGGTGGTCTTCCCCGAGTACAGGCTTCTCTGCTGATGAGGCACCTGTGCTGTGATGCTATCACTTCCCAGACCTTCTGGTACTGACGTGAACAATGGGTTATTTGTGTGTCAAACAAATGGTGTCCTGAACACTGTTGCAGTAGCAGAGCTCTTTGGGATCAGCACAGGGTATTTTTATCTATGATGTGCTCAATTCCTGCTTCTTACACACATTTGCATTCTTACTCATATCAATTTTAGCATATAACATGAAAGCCATTTATCTGGTTGCATATAGTGTTTTCTGCCTTCAGAATTTCAAGACCATTTTATGGCATTTTTTGTTTAGCTGAAGTATCATTAAATTTAAAAAAAAACCTACTTATATTCAACTTTTATCCTATTGTTTTGTTGCTGATTTCCTCTTCGCCTCATGGCTGAATTATCCCTTGTAGGTTAGGAGTTTAAGTAGCTGTCTGTTTAAACCATTTTTGTTTAAAACACCTAAATAATTCTTAAAACTCTGTTCTGTAAAGTCCTATAGTTGATTGCAGAAGACTGCAAGACAGTGACGTGTTTGTGGGTTTAATTCCCTGAGAGGATAAAATGATTCCAACCTTTTCCGCTCCTTGTTGCTGGGTGGGGTTTTTTTTGGCATTTCAAAGCTGCAGGCTTTGCTTTAGTAGAATGGGAAATGAGATACTTGTGTACATGGTTGTTATTCTTCCTGATATTCTGGGAAGTCAGCTGCTTAAACCCTAGTTCTGGATTTCTAATGCCCAACAGCTTCTGAAAGCTTTTATTGTCTTTGTGTTCTTCACTGCTGCAGTGTTGGATGCCTTTAAAAAAATGATTTGACATTGTTTGCACAATTTAATTTCTTATTGTTTCTGATTTTTTTTTTTCTTGGCTCGCCTGGTAGTGGCCCTATCGTGGTCGACAAAAGGAGAAAAGTTTCCTGTATGAGATAGTAGCTAACAAAAAAAATGGCATTGACGTTGACAAGTGGGACTATTTTGCAAGGTAAAAACCTTATAGCTTTTGGTTTCATTATGAATTCCTACTGAAACAGTGCTACTGTATGTACAAGTATGATCTCATTGTTAAACACTCTCTGTGGAATATTTTCAGGGATTGTCATCACCTAGGAATCCAGAATAATTTTGATTATAAGCGATTACTTAAATTCACTCGGGTCTGTGAAGTGAAAAACCAGAAGCATATCTGTACCCGTGACAAGGTAAGCAGTGTGTGTGAACTGAGGGAACACTCAGCAGCAAAATGTGTGCGAGGTGAGCACGGAGAACACCCGGGGCATAGCAAAGTCTGCCTTGGGCAGCACGCTGCGGCTGCGTGCTGGCTTATGGCAGGGTGCTGGGGTTGCCTGCTGGACGCTTTTTTAGCCTAAGAGAGGAAGTAGTTGCTGCTCTGAACGCTGTTCTCAGAAGCAACTGAGTTAAGGGAGGGACAGAGCAAGCCTGATGGCGGGTCCTTCCAGGGAAGACTCTACAGAACCATCAACTGTGCATGATCCTGCCCCAGGTCTTCTGAGCAAGAGGTGACTGTGGCTTTGGTGAGTGGCTGCTAAAGGGGCAAGAAGTCCTCTGCCCAGGCTTCCTGGGGTCAGTGTCAAGTCTCTGCTCTCTCACGGCAGCCTGAGTGTTTCAAAATCTGTAAATTGTGAAAAATAACCATTCTGCTCTGTGCTGCAAATGGAAGGAGACAACTCATTTGATTCCTTGATTGTTTTAGCTTTCCAATTAAGAAAATGTCAAAGTAAAAGATGATTGGGTTTTTTTGATTCAGGAAGTTGGAAATTTGTATGATATGTTCCACACACGGAATTGCCTGCACCGGCGAGCATACCAGCATAAGATTGGCAACATCATTGAAATAATGCAAGTATTATACTTTCCTTTTCTTGCATTCTATTTATTTTTAAGTTCTTGAAACAGTATATCTATTTGGAATATTCAGATAATCTATAACGTGTGACATAGAATAAAAGCCACTGGGCTATATAACCCAATTCTTGTGGCAAGGCTCAGTGCTTAAAGTATTATAGAAGTTGTAATTAACAAAAAAAAAAACCAAACCAAAACAAACCCCAAAAAAACCACCACAACAAAGATGACAATATCCTTCCATGTCAAATTCCATTACAGGAGAATTACTAAAGCCCTGAAGAAGCATAGGACTAGGGTGTGCTTATGCTGTTTTAACTGCTGACAGCTGAAGTCAAATCTTTATCTACAAGTTAGAGACCACTTAACTCAAACTGGTTGGTTAACAGAACAAAGCTACTAACAGAGTAAAATAAAGAGTAGGCTTACTGTGACTCAGCTGAGCCCTGACTTTGTGTTTATGGAGTGCCATAGCATGAATTGCTCAGGACTAGTTCAGCTGCCTACTTGCATTTGTACCTCTTTTGTTGATGTCCATAGAAGTTTTCCTATAGCACTACTCTTTTTGCCTTTCTTGAAAAGCAGAAATCCTCAAGTATTTTTTCATTAGCTGAGTAACCATCCACTAAATTTGGAAAAAAGGAATGTAGAGGATTGCGGAGTACAAGAGTGATTTGTAACTGCTTTCATTTCATAAACTTCAGCTCTTGGTTTAGTGATCCTCTAAAACTCAGACTAAAAATGCTAAGGTTTGACAGTACCTATGTGTGAGGAGTAAAACAGCGAAAAAATTTAGTTCTTGGCTTACCATAATTACAGCAGCCTCTCCAAATGAGTGTATGAGCTGGAAATGACAGTGAGGTACAGGGAACTCTGGAAGAACTCAATCTTTAGAACATCAGTTCTTCCCACCTGAAAATACCACGTGTTTGTGATGCTTTACCTTTACACTTTGTATTCTCTCAGTTAACTCCTGGAACAAAAAGTCTGTGAAAGGACTTTGCCATCTGTGAGGCAGCTTTGTTGCAGCTGAGTGACCATGTCACTGTCTTGCAGGGTTCTGCAGTCATCTAAGCAATGTGAAACTCATAGTCGGAAGCAGAACAAAGTGAACTTTCTCATTCATTGAAAGAAGGTTAAAGTCTGATCTGAACCCCTTTTCAGTAAATGGCAAGACTGTTGCAGTGTGCAATGACAGCACGGAGATAGGATATATTGCAGTGTGATCAGGGCCTGCTGTGTGCTTGGAATGCAGTTTTGTCTTCTATTTATAACATACTAATGCATTTCTTTTTTGACTCTTGAGCAATAAGGTGTTTCAAAATTATGCTAGTCTTAAATCTTAATTTTGTCTCTAACTAGGATTACAGAAGCCTTTCAAAAAGCAGACAATTTTTTAAAAATTGAAGGCTCTGAAGGAAAACTGTACCAGATTTCTACAGCAATGGAAGACATGGAAGCCTACACTAAGCTAACTGGTATGAGTGCTCAGATTATTTATTTTTCTTAAAGAAAAAGAACGTGAGTACCTGTTAAAATGCTGCTTTTACAGCTGTTGGTACAGTGGGCCCTTGCCCATGACTCAGACTTTCAGTTGCTGCTTTTGTGCACAGATGGTATTGGACTGTTCAATCTCTGTGCTCTCATATCTTGCTGGGAGAGCAAGGCCTTCTACTTTAAATTATTTTTATGCTGAGAGACCCAATTTCTTATGTTCTGCACACATTCAAATTCAGATTATTGCAAGCAGTGCTGTCAGGAAGTCCTGCCTGTGCCCTGAGATTGTTGCACTTGTGACAAGTTAGCTCTGGGTGATACAGCATCTCGCTACATCAGGTAGAGGAGTACTGTGTGTGTGTTGTAGTGGGAAACTAACCCCAAGGCAAGTTTCAGAGGGCTCCAGTGGGGACTGATTTCATTTGCTTGAGACATCGCTGCCCTGCTTGCAAATATAACAAGAAAACAGAATATGTGAACATTTTAGTATATTGCTGAAAGTTTCTGGTTGCTTGGATAAGAGCTTGTGAGAATGGTTCTGGTAGGGTAAGGACATGGAGCAGCAACCCACTTGAAGACATGTGGGGGAACTCCAGCATGATTATGGAGCAAAGCAAACAGGAGCTGGGACTTGTGATGTCTTCCCATTTTTCAAGGTCTGGGTCAGTGCTGTGAAGAGAAAACAGAGAAATTACTGAAGTCAGGGAAATTGACTTCAGTTGTATTGTGTCCTCTGTTACCTAGTTCCAGGACTTCCCACCACTGTGGCATCTTGGCTTTGTCTGCCCCTCCTGGTGTTCACCGTGCACACCAGCATTCTGTGCTGTGGCATGCTCTTACCAGCTCCGTCAGCGTGGGGGATGGAGGCAGGTGTGGCCAGGGCAGACCCTGCTACACTGAAGAGTTTGTGGATGGGTGCCTGCAGGGCAGAGGATGCTGCAGACCCTGCTGAAGAGTGCTCCCAAGTACTGGTAACTCTCACAGCACCTCCGAGCTACAGCTCACAAGGACTCCCAAGGCATCTTTCCTGAGTGGAAAGGCAACTTTGTGAGTTTCCATCACCAAGCCTTGGCTGGCCGACAGAGGCTTAAGAACTTCTATCTTTGGTCCATGGACAAGATGACAGAGGCTGAGGGCACTGTTGCAGAGGATCCTGTGTGCATTAACCTGTGTTGTGCTAAAGGCCTTTTGCTGGCAATCCTTCATCTGCCGCAGCCACATGCAGACTGGTCGCAGACCTGCTGCATCAAGGGGGTGAAGGGGCTGCACAGTGCTGAGATGAGGAGCTGCGCAACCCCTCTGATGCTGTGTGCCTCTTGCCCAGGGAAGGAGAAGGGACAGTAGCTATTAGCATGAGTTGCAGGCCTTGAAAGGCTGAGCAGAAAGGTGAGAACTGAGATTAAGTTCTTACTGGTCTAGGATCTGTTCCCTGGAGGCTATCTGGTCTGTAAGTTCAGCCGTGCTAGAAAGTTACCACTTGGGTCTTGTAACTGCCTGCTGACCTGTGCTGCCTGGGGAGGAGCACAGCTCAGGCCGAGGAGACCAGAACTGACCTGTCTTAGAGTCTGCCACAGCAAGGAGCTGCTTTCTGTGGCTGTCCTGTTCAACAGGGAGAGCTGAACAGCAGGGAGAGTGATGTGAGGAATATGCCAACATCAGATTTAACAGTGGAGCATGAAAGACGAGTATGTTCTCCTCCCCTTAAGGCATTTCCTTCCGTGCCTCCAGTGGTTGCAACCTGGGCATTTCTGAGAGGACAGTAGGCTTGTTTTCAGTAGTCCTTGATGAGTGATTTTTCTGTGGAACTGTCCTCTTGGATCTTTGCAAACGATAAACCTCTGTGAGGTTTTGCAGCAGAAAGTTTCCTAGCTTTCTTCTGTGATGGGTGAAGAACTACCATTAGCTTTTAATTTTTTTGCCTCCTGATTTGACAGCAGTTCTTACTTTTAGTAAAGGATGAGACAGCAAAATGTTCTTTGTTACTACTGCTTTTGCACAATGGATGTGTCCATGGGCTGCTTATTTCCCCTGCATTATCTCTTCTCTCAGTCTGAAGAGACCTAGTCTGCTCCTCATGGAGAAGTTCCTGACTTTGATCAACCTTGTCCATAAAAAAACAACCCTCGGTTAAAGCTGTTCTGGTGCGTGGCTCTTAGGTTGCTGTTGGAGTGTGTTGGGAGCCTCTTAAGCCAGTTGTGGTCCTAAGCGGGGCGTTGCAGATCTGTGCTCACAGCACATGTCAAAGGTTTCTGGGTATTTCTGGCTAGGGAGTGTGAATAGACAGAGTGCTGCTGTGTGGTCGTGACAGACAAGCAGCATCCTGACAGCAGCAGTCTCTTTAGAGCAGCCAAAATTAACCTTTTTGCTCTGAAGCCACTTCAAAAGAAACCTCTGTCTTGCGGCTTGTATTGGTGGTGGGAGGCACACTGTGTGCTTCGCTGTCATGTGGAGACAGGAGGGAGGACTTTGTTGCTAGCATCCAAAGCCTGAGACATTTTGAAGGTTTAATGGAAGCACTTTACTTTTTTACAAGATAAGGCACCCTTGTCCCTGAGCTGGTTAGTGCTGGGATCCAGGGTATTCTGCTGAACAAGATTGACCAAGAAGAGGAAGCAACTTCTAGTGAAATAATAAAACTGTTGCAATGGTGAGAATTGAGCTAGTTTTTCCAACAACAGCTGTTACAAATCTGATTATAATCAAGGTGATATTATAAGTGACTTCTCAGTTGTCAGACTCTGTGTTCAGTCATTCTCCAAACTCCTGAACCAGCAGTTTTTCTTTTGCTTTAACCTTTGTCCCTGTACATGCATTTTGCTGCGACACTGGATTGTGACATACTTAACAAAAATCAATACAACTTTGGCAGATAATATCTACCTGGAAATCCTGCATTCAAGTTGTCCAGAACTGAAGGAGGCACGAGAAATTTTGCATAAAATAGAACGACGTGAATTATACAAGTTTTTAGGAGAGACTCAACCTGAAACAATGAGGGAAATTGTAAAGGTAATGTCTGTTGGTGGAAGATTCTGAATTCTGCCCCCATAAAAATGTACTCTTAAATTGCTGACCATCTTTTTTTAACCTGTTTCTGTGTGGGTTTTGTTTGTTTTGGGTTTTTTTGCTTAACTGCTATTCCAGAGAGTGAAAAGTTCTCCTCCTGTCTTTATGTGGTTGAGTCATGAAACATAGGAAACTGGGAAGAGCTTTATGTACAAATAGCCAGAAGAATGGCCAGAGGTGGAAATTCAGATGTTGATTATTGGAGAAATATTTTCAGAAAAAAACTGTTTACTGAAAAATACAAAATTATATAAAAAGCTGTTATAGTCCAGTGATTAAGAAGGCTATTAATATCATCTTGTGTTCCTTAAACTTTCAGAATAATAAGGAACACATTTCCTTTGAATCATAATTTGTGTGCTTTACTTTGAGAACAAACATCAAACTGAATAATAAATTTCTAATTTCTTGGTATTAAGTTCTATACTTGGCATGAGCATGTGTGTATTTTTTCCACTGTCTGCTTTTCAAAGCACTCATCAGACATTGGCTTAACCACTGTTATTTTACTTAAAAATAATGTTCTATTAGAGCTGATGTTACTTCAGATGTCTCAGCTTTTCTTGTAATGTGCTATACCATGTTATTAAATCATCAGTTAATTATCTTAATTAACTTCAGCCATGATGCTTAAAATTTTCCACGCCAAATTTCCAAAAGTGGCTGACTCTCTCTAGAAAGCCTTAATAAAAGTAATTCAGCTCTTATAAAGAACAAGGTTAGAGAAGAACTGCTAGATGTCTTACTGCTCTCTTCATGTTTTTGTTTGAAGAGAAGGTTTGCTTATGTTCTTTGTCTAAGAAAAAGTGCTGTTAAGAGATTCTGTATTTTAAAAAGGTAGAAGGAAATAGGAGGAAGGAAAATGTGAAATGGTTGTATATTGATGGTCAAGTTTCTGTCCTTATGAGGAGTTCAGGATAGCCTAACAAATAAGGAGATGGGGAGGAGAGTAAATTGCATGAGTTCCACCTTTAAACGATTCCTTTTAGAAGCTTGGGTAATGAAAAGAAAAACTCTCACTTCAAAAATCCAGCCAGAGGCATTGAGTCTTGGGGTATCCAGTGTGGTGTTCTGGAGGGAGTCTGGATCGCTGTGGGTGCCATAATTATATCCAGATAATGCTTTGCAGCTTCTGATGCTCAGCTGAAGTAGTGGGGGAGAATTTTTCCTCCTGTGGTGCAGGAGTTGCCTGTGCAGGACTGTTGGAGGTTCAACTTCCTCTGAAGTGCTGGAGGTGAGCAGTGGCTGGTCAAGACATAGCTGTGTCTGTTCTGCTCCTTAAGAGACCATGATGCTGTTATGTTTAGAATTATAGAATGGTTGGGGTTAGAAGGGGCCTTTAAAGGTCATCTGGCCCAACCCCCCTGCACTGAGCAGGACATCTTCAACTAGAATAGGTTGCTCAAAGTCCCATCCAATTTTGTGATCCTCAAGCTGGCCAGAGCCAGGGGAACATCCCAAGTAGCTACAGAGTTCTTGAATTCAAAACTTAAGTTTCCAGTTAGTGGAGACTGGAAGAGGTAACTTTAAAAAAAACAAAAGCAAGGAAACAATGACAAAGAAAAGGAGAAAGTTGACATACTTACCTACTGATACAGACTAGAAATAGAATAGCTTATAAACAGGCTGCCTCCTGCCAGTTGCCTTCTGGCAATTCTTTCCTCTAGGTTTGCTCTCAGTCTAAGCCTTTCCTTGGCTTCCTGAGTCACAACAAACCACACAAATACCTCAGCTTGGCAATGTGTGTGATTTCCTGCTCTTAGAAGTCTCCCCATCTTTGCAACAGACAAATCATCAGCAAAAATAATTCTGCTAGCTGAATTCCTTCCCTTCCAGGCCTGTCTCCTGGATGCTCTGTACTGCACTGGAAGGTTTTCTGCCGTGAGTCACAGTTGCTCCCAGGAAATCTTGTGTCTTCTCCACAACATAGCAGCCCTGGACAAAGCTAAACAGGCAGCCTTCTGTCTCCTGCTCAGCCACAGCCTTTTAATGAGAACTTACATATTTCCATGAGCAACTACTCTCCATCACGCTGTGCTCCTCTGCTTGGCTTTAGCCTAGCTATCAGCAGGAATATTCTGCCAAATATTCAGGTCCAAAACCAGACAAAACCCGATTGTGGGTCTCAGCTCTTGAAGTAGGCCACCATCCCCTACAAAATTTGTCTAGGAGGTTGCTGCTTCTGTTTTTTGGTTTGGTTTATTTTTTTTTATAGTGATCAATGATACTGTCTTGGGGGGTTTTTTATGTGTTTCAATGTAGAGGTATAAAAGGTTTGTTAAGAGGATGAGATCCTGCAGCCCTTTGTTTTTAAAAAAAAAAAAGTTCAGTAAAAACATTTAGGATTCAGGTTTGGGGAACTTAGTTGCAAAACAATTGCATGAACGTACTTTCTGCTTTCGTGGACACTTCAACGTTGTGGATGGACTGACTCCCACCCTCCCTCTCTCTGCCACCCC